ATGTCATCATGCCTTTCGCTATTTTCAAATACGTTATCTCACATGGATATGCCATTTGCAAATGGGGTAAGTGCTCCTGAATCCAGCAAAACAAAGGACTGTTTTTATTACATTACCATCCTCTGCTGCATACCCTTAAAGGATGAAAAAAATGGCTACTATGTAGATCAAAGGGCTTCTCTCTGCCTCTATCGATCTCCCAGAAGATGATTTGATTGCCCTTGTGTTTTACGCTGATATTTCACAAGCTTACTAGGTGGGGGTGGGGACTAGCTAAAATTTATAAATTCTCTCTTACAACCCCTTGAAACACACACACACACACACACACACACACCAGGATTGTAATAAAACAGAGTGAGTCACACTGCAGATATTTAAAGATTTATGTTTCTACAGTGCTTCAGTGATTCTGAATAAAACAAAATAGAAAAAGCTCAGGCTACAAAGAAAAATTAAGATTGATCTTGGAGGGGTCTCCAGGCTTGCTTCCTCATTGATTAATTACTGTGGGTTACCACATGGCTGCTCTCTCCCCTGATGAGGCAAGTGGTCACTGTTTAGTGTAAGTCTGAGACATTTCATTCTAGCGCTATCACATGCTCTTAGGGGTTATAGAACGCTCAGCAGAGTGTAACCAAAATCATTAGTATAAGGGCTGGTGTTTTGAAATACAGTCAGCAGCAGGTCTAGTTAATTGCTGATTATTGCACAGGGCAAAAAAAGCATTTTTCCTTAGAAGTGCCTATTAAAACAATTAATTAATTCACCTAGGTTCATCTGCTCTGCCATAAGTATGAATAAATGAGAGGGGTAATTTCTATCTCCCATAATCTCATGGCATAAGGATTTATACACGACATATGGAATTCCTGATGTCTTCTAGGGTTAGACAATTTTTTATCTTTATCTTAAGCCAGACTTGAGCTCAACAAAAGGAACTCCTTTCTGGCAACTGAAACTGTCTGTCCATGGAATAGCCTAGTCTGCAAAGTAGAAGCAGCAGAATTAGGGTGAAAGCAGAATCCAGGTCCAACTTCAGAGCCTGTATCCCCACCCTTCTCCCAATTATTGATGGAAAGACGTGAAGAGAGAAAATGTGTAAGAAAGAAGAAAGGAAAAAAGAGATGGTTTAACATCAATCTTTTAATGTTAATGGACCCCCTTACTCATTAGAAAGGCACTAACTCAGCCAAGGAATCTAAGAAATGACAACACAGGGACTATATTTGAACTTGATAATAGACTATATGTCAGCTACTGTTCTGAGTGTTTTACATATTCATTAATTCTCATAACAACTCTTTGAATTGGGTACCATTGTCCCCATTACAGATAAGAAAAACTGAAGCTCAGAGAAGTTATATAACATATCCAAGATCACACAGCTTGCAAGGCTGGGAGTCAAAGCTATGCAGTGTGGCTTCACAATTCACGTCCTTCACCACTACGCAATACTGCCTGCATGTCTTTTTGGGGAAAGGATCTGTTCCTGGTAACCTTTATCTTCTTCATCTTCTTTTTTTTTTTTTTTTAAAGATTTTTTTAATTTATTTATTTTTCCCCCAACACCCCAGTAGATAGTTGTATGTCATGGCTGCACATCCTTCCAGTTGCTGTATGTGGGACGCGGCCTCAGCGTGGCCAGAGAAGCGGCGCGTCGGTGCGATCCCGGGATCCGAACCCGGGCTGCCAGCAGCAGAGCGCGCGCACCTAACCGCTAAGCCATGGGGCCGGCCCGTATCTTCTTCATCTTCTAACTTAAAATATTATTCAACCAGCTTTTCCCTTGGGAAAACATTTTCTTAGAAACTTTAGAAACATTTCTTTTCTCATTTAAATGAAAATAGTATCACAATAAGAACCTCTGTAAAACCACAGACACCATCAGAACAAAATCAAAATGCAGTAAAGATCAAACCGTAATATCCATTCCATGTTAGTGAATACTTGGCCAGCTTTCAGGAGATCAATATGGCATTTCATTTGTGAGTAGACTATTAATCTCAATAGGTAATAAAATTTAATTTCATCAGCCCAGTTTTGAAGAGAGACCAATAATCAAACTCATGTACACAACATATTGAAAAACAATAAAAATGAGAACGTACTCTTTGGTCACGGTCTGCTAAAGAACACAAAGAACATTCAGAGTCAGCATATGCTTGATTCTTCTGTATTACCAGGGGTTTCCAAGATGACAAAATACATACACCACAGAGGTTGCCACTATTAGAACTTTAAAGGATAAAAATAAATAAAAATTAAAAAAATTAGTCACACATACATCTGATAAGCAATTATGACCTGGTGATCCTATAAGAATATTCATCTAGGATAGAATCACAGAGTATATACTTTGGCCAAAATGAATAGGAGAAATAAATGGGTCATAGGCATTACTTTCAAGAATTCAAAGCCAAAGTCACTGAAGGAGAGTCACTGTGTGAGTGTGTGCAAGGTCTGTGTTAGCTTGGAGACCAGAGGAGGATCATCAGAGACTAGATAAGAATGTATCTGACTCAAGCAGTAGGGAAGGGCAATGCATTGGAGACAGAGGGGAAGATCAGTGAAGCCCAAGATCAGAGGCAATGACTTGGGCCTTGGATGGATTGGGATGGCACTTAAGGAGAGGAACTGAGAAACCTGCCAAGCACACATTCTGCCAAACTACAACTACCACAAACTACCCCTCTGGGCATCTTTGCCTAGTATCACCTCAGTGTGATAGGCACTCTGAGTGATAGGCTTAGGCAAAAACAAAGGGACTGCGAGCTGAGCCAATCAAATAAACTTTCTTTAGCCATTGAAGTTAAGCTCTGGAATCTGCACTTCATATACTTTTATTTGTGCAGATTTGGGTAGTTTCATTTCTGCTTATGTTCCTAGTAAAAATTCCTTTTGGAAACTTTGATCTTATCTCAACTAAATGCATGCTGCTGGTGGTGGCAGCAAGGCTAACCGGAGGCAGGGCATTTTTTTTGTTCTTGCGTATGCTTTTCTTTCATCTAAGTATCTCTGGTTATTTGAAGACTGCTACCATGTACTGCCTCCTCACCCCTAAGTTTTTACGTCTCCAAGTTAACCAGAAGCAGTTGCTCAACCCTTGCTCATTTTTTTTGGTTTCCGGATCTCTCTCTCTGACTGTTCCCTATCCCATTGCCCTCCCATCTGTAAGTACTTTTGAGGTATGCTACCCGGAACTGCACACAAGATGCATTGGAGATTAGAAGTATTAACTCCCTTGATCTGAAATTGTATCTCTGTTGACGTAGCCCAAGATCACAATGATTTTGGGGGTACAGATTTGTAAACCCATCAATCAGCACTCTTAGTTATTTAGTTTACTGCCTGGTAGTAACAACAGGCCAAATAGATATAATCAGATATAACTTAGTTCTTTGGGATTCTTAGAGGTCAAGTCCAGGAGGGAGGGGAAAAAGGGTAGAGGTCTTTGTGACTCTTACAGTATTTACCAGTATCTGCCTTTTATTAAGATTCTGAGATCTGTGTAACCCATAGGCTGAGTTCCTTGAAGGTAGGTCACCCAGCCTTGATTTTAATCTTGTTCCCACACGTCTAACAAGTGATAAATTCTTTTGACTTGTTCATTGCAGAAGTGTTTTTCAATTACATTTATTTATTTATTTTTTTTTTAAAGATTTTATTTATTCAGTTTTCTCCCCCCAAAGCCCCAGTAGATAGTTGTATGTCATAGATTCACATCCTTCTAGTTGCTGTACGTGGGACTCGGCCTCGCGTTGGACGGAGAAGTGGTGCCTCGGGGCGCTCCCGGGATCCGAACCCGGGTCGCCAGCATCAGAGCGCGCGCACCTAACCGCTAAGCCACAGAGCCGGCCCTTCAATTACATTTAATATTCTACTTAAAAAAATAAGTATTTTCCCATGTTACCATAAATCATAACTTCTGAGCCTTTGGAATATCCTGTCTTTGTATGCCTAAGACCTTGGGCCATACCAGACAGTTTATGCTAACAATGTGATTTATGGTGAATGCCTATTTTTGTATACCTGGGGCCCTGGGACATGCTGTATCAGTTTGACCACTGGGTGGGTGCTGGGGTCTCAGTGGCTGAGTTAATTACTTGAGCACTGCATGCCTACGTGATTGACTTTCAGTAAAAACCCTGGACACTAAGGCTCGGGTGAGCTTCCCTGGTTGGCAACACTTCACTCATGTCACATATCATTGCTGGGAGAATTAAACACTGTCTGTGTGTCTCCACTGCGAGAGGACAACTGAAAGCTTGTGCCTGGTTTCTCCTGGACTCTGCCCTATACATCTTTTCTGTTTGCTGATTTTCATCTGTATCCTTTCACTGTAATAAACTATAACTATGAATATAATAGCTTTTCCCATGAGTCCTTCTAGTAACCACTGAAACTGAGGGTGGTCTTGAGGATCCCTGACACAGATATGTTAACATGGGACAAAAATAAAAATATTAAGTAATTGTGCAAGAAACATTTAAGAGGCAATGAATTCCATAGTTGCTATTCTGTCCATTGTCATGTAACAGCATCTAGTATAATCAGTGAAAGGAAAGATATTCATAAAATATCTATTTGATGGCAAAGTTTAACTTTGATTCAGATACCTTGTCTCTTTTAGAGAGTTTTGGTTATTTTTTTTTTTTCCACAATAAACACAAACATTTCAAAATAGGTTAAAATAAATTTTTATTAAAAATTTTTATTAAATGTTAGAAGAGATTTATACACAGTTCACAAATTCTTTACAAAACAATCGCCAATCTTATCCAATTGTAATTGTTTCTATGCAGACTTGGAAATTTTGCAGTGAAATAGGGTCTACAAAATATTTCTTTTAGGAAGTATCACAATGCTAATTTTAGGCAAAATAGTTTAAAACTGAAATCTTTGCATGCAAATGAGTGAGCTCTCAAACACCCAAAGTAATGGGAAAATGAACAGTAAACTGACTTACTGAGGAAATAATGAATAAGTATTATATAAACTTCTCAAATTCAGATTTTTTTATTACTTTCAGAAGCAGTGCCATTTTAAGTAGACAGTCATATTATATACTCAAATAAAATGAATGCTAATCAAATTAACATTCAAAGAATAAAAATATAGTTGCAAAGAGGGACCCCTTGTAGAAGATATGTTAAAGTCTTTATTAAAGGCTTATGGTACAGGCCATAAACCCTACAGAAGACAGTGTCTTCAAACAGAATAATGACAATTCATTCCTTTTAGAAGTGAATAACACCTCTTTAGTAGTGTTTGCTGGTAAAAAAAAAAAACAAAAAAACATACAAGTTCAAAGTATGATGGCAACACATAAAAGTTGCCAATAGTTTTGGTCTTTGTCTGAGAGGTACACTCTGTAATTTCACAAAGACTGGCTTTGAATCTTCAGTTCAAAAGCATACTTCTTTCCCAAAAGGATGACTGCCCAACTGATACCATTCCAGAGAGCAAAATCCTAACCACCAACTTGAAAGGATGATGGCTCAACAAAGAAAATAATAACAGATTTACCTCAGAGATTAGGAAGCAAACCAATGTCAAAGCATTTGAAATCACAAGGAATTAAAAATTTGATGCTTTGAAATTTTTCCCCTGAGCTATGGATGCTTTTTATGTAGTCTCTAGTAAAACAGAATGCATTTCATCATTCCAAGTTGTACTTATAAATGCTATGATTCTTGGTGCTGAAAATAGATAAATTATGTCTCGAATGCACAAAGTGGTAGCAATTACGTTTCATGAAAATCTTTGGTGAGATGCAATCCTTAAGAAGCCTCCTTATTTTGTTTCCCTCCTCATAATACTCCTAGAATCTTCAAGTAATTTTCAGAGGAGAAACCACAAGACCATAATGAAGGACCAGCAGACCATCCTGAAACGGAAAAAAAAAAAAAAAAAAGAATGTTTTGTAGTTATTTAAAAACCAGTTATGTAAATGATCAAGTCAAAGATGATTTATTGGGGCCGGCCCCGTGGCATAGTGGTTAAGTGCGTGCGCTCCGCTGCTGGCGGCGTGGGTTCCACGCACGGATGCACTGCTTGTCAGGCCATGCTGTGGCGGCGTCCCATATAAAGTGGAGGAAGATAGGCACAGATGTTAGCCCAGGGCCAGTCTTCCCCAGCAAAAAGAGAGGAGGATTGGCATGGATGTTAGCTCCGGGCTGATCTTCCTCACAAAAAAAAAAAAGATGATTTATTTTTCCTAACCCAACATTAATATGAAATTCTTTGATTTAAGAAAATAAAGGGTATAAGACAAATAAACTTGCTTATTCACTCACCTCATCACCAAACACTCCCTGTCAAAGTGCCTTTTTAACGACTCTCAGGAGACAATTCTGAAACTACCAGGTATCTATAGTTAGCCAGGGTTGTTTATGGCTAAACAGTTCTCCGAAAAGAACCAAAAGAGGGCCGGCCCCGTGGCTTAGTGGTTAAGTGCACGCCCTCAGATCCTGGGCGCGCACTGAGACACCGCTTCTCCGGCTATGCTGAGGCCGCGTCCCACATACAGCAACTAGAAGGATGTGCAACTATGACATACAACTATCTACCGGGGCTTTGGGGAGAAAAAAAGGAGGAAGATTGGCAATAGATGTTAGCTCAGAGCCAGTCTTCCTCAGCAAAAAAAAAAAAAAAAAAAAAAAGAACCAAAAGAGATACACCTTTCCTTCTGCACAGACTACTTAACAGACCACCCGAGCACCAGGCTTCCCTAAAAAAAGACTCAGTTATCATAAAGCATCATGCATCTGCTAAGAAATGAAACATCTATTTCCACATAAATGCAGCTCACTACTATTATAAGTGAGAAAACTTTGGAACTCTTACCCATTTAACATATCATACATTTTACTTCCTCCTTAAAGATTGTTCAATACAATTTAACCTTTCTTTGATATCCAGAGTCATCATTATGAACAGTAACAGTTAACAATACTGTGCTGTAACACAGCGATGTCCTCAGGGGTTGCTGGGCAACTTAACCCTATACTAAATGACTCCAGATACTGTGTTTCTGAGTCTTTTTATCTGCTTTTTTGGGTTTCTGTCTCCTCTCTTGATATCAGGTCTTAATTCTTTGTGCTCTCACCAAGGCTATATCCATCAAGCAATCTACCTTTTTAAGGTGCTATTTCTAATATACTACGAACTGGAAAAACTAGCTAAAAAGGAAGATTCATTGGGAAGTGTGCCATGAGCAATGGGCCTACTTTGGGCAACATGGAGAGGGAGTGCATGCATGCCTTGCATTTCCAATCCTGATGTAGCTATTACTCTCTCTTTTTCTTCATTACTAAGCTTTTCTATGGCTCCGCTTCCTCATTTCTCATTCACTACTGAACTCATTGCAATCTGGCTTCTGTTCCTGGCAACTCTAGTGAAAACTCACTAGAATTCTAGAAAAGGGTTTATAAATTCAAATACCCACAAGGGCCAGGAAAGTAACAGAAAGGAACACGTGACTTAGGGTTGTGAGTCAGCAGGGAATGTTGAGACCAGTTGTAAACCAGAGAGCAGATGCCTAGCTAAAGGAATTTAAACTCAAGATATTTAAAACAGAATAAGCCAAATAAAGCATAATCCCATACCATGTTTGGCCCATAGACCATCAGATCTGTTCTAGTCTAATTAGCCTAAGCAAAGGATATGAATTTGTATCATAAGACAAATAGAAAGATTCTATTAACATTTTTACATGAATACAAATTACATTTTACATAATTACATTGCATAGTTATGTTTCAGAAATGAAAACATTTGCAAAACAATATATTGATATGCAGAGATATAAAACTCAAAGTATAGCTTACAAGCTGTTTCAAAATCTCAAAACAACTTCAATAATGTATAAAATCACATTTTATGAAACTTAATTCAAATTTATATCTATATATTATATTTATATTCTATATTACAATATGTGAATATATAAATCTTATTTATATTTTATATTTAGATATCTCCATTCACGGTCTTCTTAAACTCTCCAGCTAGAGTGAGTCTTCTAAAACATAAGTCAGAGTATGTCACTTCTGTCCTTGGCTCAAATCTCTCCAACCAATAGTTTCCCACCTTATTCAATTAAAATCCAAAGTTCATACTATGGCCTATAAAGTCCTACATGGTTGTATTCTGACTGCACAGATCTTAGCTCCTACCATTCTCTCTCTCACTCACTACATCCTAACTTTCCCACTGAGGAGGTATATTATTCATTTAGCTAAGAGGTCCTGAGAGTCCATGAAACTTACACTGTTATCAATGAGGACTTTAATTGTATTACAGGCTAAGTTCCAGGACTTGCTTATTTCCAAATCTTTCCATGAGCCTAGAATAGTGCTCTGTAAATATGTTTTGAATTGAAGTAATGTTTTCTACTTACTCCATTGATTTTGGGATTTTACTCTTAGATTCTTACATTTCTAATCAAGCTTAATTTTTAAAAAGACAATCATTTTCTAAGATTTCTGAAGTTTGACCTTATAAAATTTTTAGGAAATGTTTTGTTTACAACCCTAAGTAAGCTCACTTAGCTAAGAAACAATTTTGCTTTTCTATTTTATAAAGATTCTTTTGAATTGTCTGTTACTAAAATGTAAACAATTGGTAAAGGGCTATATTTGTAAAAATGTGTAACAATAAATCAAATAATCACCTGAAAAAGTATTCAGCTACCCTTCTATTAAGCTTTAAGTTCAATTTTTTTCAAGAGATGAATCTTGATTCTACCACTAACTAGCCAAGTGACCCTGGGCAAGTTATTTAACCTCTATAGGCCAGTTTCCTCATCTATAAGATCTACCAATGGATGTGAGAATTAGAGGGCAAAGTTTGAGGAGAAACAGGATGTCTGCATAGTTTCAAAATATCTCCTCCCAGGATATTTATTAATTACAAAGAGAAAAATCTACCAGTATTAAGACATATTGACATCATGTATCTCCTGATATGATACTCTGAGAAGGGCACATCACTTCTGTGGCATGCTTGCCAAAAATGCATAACCTCAATCTAGTCATGAGAAAACATCTGACAAACCCAAACTAAGGGACAGTCTATAAAATAACCGACCAGTGCTTTTCAGAAGCATCAAAGTCATGAAAAACAAGGAAGGACTGGAAAACTGGGAAGACAAGGAGACATAACAACTAAATACAATGTAGAATCCTGGATTTGGATCCTGGGACAGAAAAAGGACAATAGTGGGAAAACTGGCAAAATCCAAATATCTTCAGCTTTGTTAATAATATTGTAGCAATGTTAATTTCTGAGTTTTGATGATGGTACCATGGTTACGTAAGATGTTACTATTAAAGGACACTGGTGATATTGACATAGTGACTCTCAGTACTATTTTTGTAACTTTTCTCTAAATCTTAAATTATTTCAAAATAATATTTAAAAAAAGAAAAAAGAGGATAATAATTGTTCTTATCTTTTAAGATTGTTGTGAGACTTACACAAGGTAACACATGTTCTTCTGCACCTAGAATATAGTATGTGGCATTCAGTAAGAGCTCAAGAAATGTTAATTATTATTAATATTGTTCTTCTCCTAGCTCCAAGCCATTTCATATCATATATGTGTTGTTCCTCAATTAACCTGGCAGGCTGATCAATGGATTTTCCTTCTTCTTTTCACTTTCCAACCCAAAGAGCATGAAGACTTTTTTTTCACTAAGTCCTAATACCATCTCATTCTATCACTAAGCTGGCCGTATTACAAAAATAATTACATTTCATGCTTCTTAATGTCCTTTTTGGAAATAAGATAACTGTTGTTCAATGGAAAAGTCAGTTACTTTTACAAAGAAACAGAAAGGTTTCTGTTCTTTTTAAATCACACATAAAATACAAATTAATGACAGCCATTAAAAAAAAATGATGGTCCTTAATCATTTTACTGCCAATTACTTTTGCTACTCTGACAAACTGTTATCACAACAAAAGTGTGCCTATCACTGAAGGATAATTACAACCTATAATATCACAGTAAAAAACAATTAGCCTTGGAGCATCCTTCCAATATTCAATCAGATATGTTTTATTAGCAAAATTACAAAAACTTGTGATTTCTTTAAAAAATCTAAATATGCACCATTAAAAATACAGTTATGAAAACTGTGAATGACCACGCAAGCGCTACTAGTATTAATTTGGGGGTTATAATAAAATGTTAATGAGTAGGAAAATTTGCAAATATGGAATCTGTGAATAATGAGGATCAGGTGCATATTCTTTAGGGTCCTACTTCTTCTTCTTCTTCTTCTTTTTTTTTTTTTTTGGTGAGGAAGATTAGCCCTGAGCTAACTTCTGTTGCCAATCCTCCTCTTTTTTCTGAGGAAGACTGCCCCTGGGCTAACATCCATGCCCATCTTCCTCTACTTTTTGTATGTGGGACGCCTGCCACAGCATGGCTTGATAAGCAGTGAGGAGGTCTGAGCCCGGGATCTGAACCTGCAAACCCCAGGCCACCCAAGCAGAGCATGTGAACTCAACCACTACACCACCGGGCCAGCCCCCAGGTCTTACTTCTTTTACTCACTGTTATGCCTGTGAGATTCAACCATGCTGCTGCATATAGTAGTTGTATTTAATTGTATGTATATGCCATAATTTTTTACTCATTTTTTGTTGGACATTTGGGTTGTTTCCGGTTAGTGGCTATCATGAATAAAGCTACTATAAACTTCCTTTTTTTTTTTTAATTTTTTTTTTATTTTTAAAGATTTTTATTTATTTTTTCCCCCCAAAGCCCCAGTAGATAGTTGTATGTCACAGCTGCACATCCTTCTAGTTGCTGTATGTGGGACTCGGCCTCAGGATGGACGGAGAAGTGGTGCCTCGGTGCACGCCCGGGACCCGAAC